TAATCATTTCAATATGGTAGGAAAAACAATGATTAAATGCAATTTGTATATAGTCCAATATATATAGTCCAATATCCTGGATATATATTCCCAACTACCTGTTTTATTCACAGATAGTCGGTGCAAAAAACATGAGCTTCTTTAGGAAAATTTTCAAATCTATGTTGGGTAAGCAGTTTTTTTTTTAATGTAACATGTTTATGGATTAAATATTTGTGGTGATTTACTTGTTTGTTTGCAGCTCTACTTTAATAAGTTCATAAATTTTGTTTTCTTTCTTTTTTTTCTTTCTTTTTTTTTAATTTTGCTCTCAGTGTGTTTTCATGCATGTCAAGCTCTTTGGGCTTTTTCATATAATATTACTCTTTACAAATAAAACTTGCCTGACTGAAATACTGAATAGTTTTTTGAGGTGTGTACACCAAAGCTGCTAAAAAAGAAAATCCTGGATTCTCATCTTAACTTGATCTTGTTCAGTCATTGAATTTTGCAAAGTGATTTTATAATGGAAAAAAACGATGATGTACTTTTAATCTGAACATCGCAAATGATAACATTTCATTTAACATAAGGGAGTAAATTGTATAAGTAACATTGAATATGGAAAAGTGTTGTCAACATGTTGCTAGAATGTCATATTTTAATTGCAGGTACTCCCCCTTCACCTCCTCCTTCACCTCCCCGTAAGAAATTTAAAATTTATAATAAAAATCTTTAAACTTTAAGATTAAACCAACACATAACGATGTATAATGAATTTAAAACAATTTCCTTCTCGTGTGATTCACACAATTAACATGTTCATTTTACAGTTTTACGGGTAGAAGAAAGAAAAATACCATGGAAGTGAGTATTATGGGGGTGGTTTATTCTTTGTGTTCTAGAACTTAAATGTGAGCTATGTTTTTAACACATGTTTGCCATTTGATGTCAGTCTCAGACCAGATTATATAATGTGTAAATGTATCAGTAGAGAGATTCAAACCTCCAATGTGCAGCTGTATTGCTGGCAATGAAACATGGTGCTGAGAGTGCACTGAGTGCTGAAATAAAGGTATTACATTAGGAATTCACAGGATTAGTTATTTTCTGCTGTTGCTTCTCCCTTGCCTCTTGGTGTTATACTTCTTATAATCTTTATAGATCATCATCGCATTTTCCTCTTATGTCTCTGACAATCAGGCCAATGAGTTACATGATACGTCAAAGCAAACTTTTATTTAACAAAATCACATGCCTTGTCTTTCTAGTTTATTTTGTGTTCCTCGGGTTAGTTAGTTTCCCTCATGTCCAGCAATAAAGCTGCTTTTAGTTCACTTTTCATCTCCAACAGTCTCCATTCGCGTTCTACATTCCTGCATGCCACACACAGATCCTGCCAGACACATACAAACAAAGAACCTATAACAGACTAGTTTGGACAAGTGAGGGGGAAATTCCTGGAAGCCAGAAGAAAATGAAAGCATGCTTAAAGGGCTGTGCGATATGACCAAAATCTCATATCCCGATATAAGAATTCTGTCATCCCGATAACGATATAAATCACAAAAATGTAACATTTTCTGTAAATTCTGTGAATTACAGCTCGTCTTGCAGGAAGTGTTTCCAGTTGCACATCATGTAGCTGGAGTCGAGTGTTTTAACCGATGCATGAAACTATCCGATTGTTCAGTCTGACGTCACTAGCCGTGTCTGGGCCTAAACTCCGCTGCAGGTCCATATATCAAACGATCACTATGGCATGGTCTAAAGTCTTTCATCTTTAATAAAATGATTGGCGTTCTGCTCTATCAGGTGTAACAATTGAGTTTAACATCCAGGCATCCATGAAAACGGAATTTATGACATTTAACGGAGTTAGAAGTTAGCAGGAAGTTAGCTCGCTAGCTTCTATCTAAATACAATATAGCATGTCCTGACTGCAAAAAAGAGTGTAGTAATGACTGGAGATAGCTGACAGGTACTGGCAGGCCAACTGGAGAGTGGCTCTGGCCATAACTGAAGCCAACAATTGAATGAAGTCATGGAAGAAGACTTTCGGTCTGCCTTGAAACAATTCATTCAATTGGGAAAAGCCTGTTCTAACGTTTGAGTCTAAGGTTTATTTTTTAGCACCTGGCGGCTCTTTTTTACTTCTCATCCGTAAATAATCTGCTCTTTCACGTGATTCAGTTTATTTTGAAAAGTCTCAACAGGATCTTGAGCTTTATTGTGAAAGGTTTATCTGGAACATAAACAAGCGGACACGCGATGCTGTTACCCATTGTTGTTGCTAACCACAACGCAGAAAAACAGGCGCTTGTCCGTCCGTAGTGTGGTTATATAAAATATATACGAAACAAACGATAGCGTAAAATGAAACAATAGACGTTTTTATATCGTCATCAGATATATATATCGTTATATCGAACAGCCCTACATGCTTATATATATATATATATTTAAAAAAGAAGTCATACTCAATCTGCATCAGTGGAGGCAACATCAGAGAACCACTTTCATTATGGCACAACTCTGGTGTGCTAGCAACAAGGTGACTTGAATTCGGCTAGCTTTGCTGATGCTTTAGCAGTTGTGAAAAATGCAAAGACATTCACAGATGGGGATTATGCCAAAACATTTGTGCTTGATGATGCCAATGAACTTCTTGATGACTTTTCGGATAAAGACAAGATAATCAAACAAATAAAAGACATTCCTCTGTTTGCAAGAACTGTTCACAATTGATGGCAAATCAAATGGCAAAACACAAGTGAAGGACATAAATGCATCCATTCTTTTCTCTTGATTTGCATGAGTCAACAGACGTAAGCCATTTATCTCAGTTCAGCGTGATTGCAAGGTATGTTGTTGATGTCACACTAGGTGAGGAAAGTCTTGCTGTTTTGCCTATGAAAGGGACAACAAGAGGGGAGGATTTATTCAAGTCTTTCACTGAGCTCACCAAAGAAAAGAATTACTGATGAGTAAAT